TGCTGAAGAAGACCCGTGGACGGGTTGAAATATTCATGTTTTGAATAAAATTTGTGTTCAAAGTCTACCAAGTCGTTGACATCTCATCGTCTTTTTATTGAATTATTAATTAAGCTGTTGAAGTCCACAGGAGTGGAATTCTCTAGTTACGTAAAATCAATAAATGCTACTTTACTTTTACTTATTAGAATATTATTGTGCCCACATAATGCAGGTTATACCAGAATTGATGAAATGCTTATTGGTATATGGTTTATGTTGGGTTATTGGTATAACCATCCCTAGTCCGACATAGTTTCTATTTTGTTGTTGTCATCTTGGCATAGGACAGTGGCCTGATATACTATTCCTTTGGTTACCGGTAGGCATTTATTAGATAGGGGGACGCGTTGCAACATTTTGCATATATATATATATATATATCTGTCTCTTATACACATCTAGATGTGTATAAGAGGACATAATACTGAATCAGATTAAACAAAACGAACAAACAAAGCACCTTACATCATATTTGTTTCATTAGTGATCTCTATATTTAACGCTATCCAAAGTACAACTGCAGTTGTTCCACAAGCAAGTAGTAGGTACCGTATACGATGTCGGCGGAAAATGCCCATCTTCGGCCTACATAAAGTTGAATAAAAATACAAATTTGAGAGTCTAAAAAATGTTTATAAAACAAAATCATGATGATCATCGTCGTCGTCATCATTAACAACAACAGCTGCTACTACTACTGCTAATGCTGCTGCTACTACTAGCTCTATTCTGCTAAATATTATTTTGTTCATAAATGGGAATGAGGTCGTCATCGGACCCTTCAAATGCGTATACTCTACGACAAATCAGTTACTACTGAAACATACAAATTTATTCACTTACAGTTATAAGTGAATAAATTTCTAGTTCAGTAATAAATGAACCCAGCAGCCAGTTTATACTTGTAACATACATAGAAAACATACATTTTGAAATACTAATAAAACAATATATTATTTAAAATATAGAATTTAACATTTAAAAACCCACCCAAGAATATAAGCCACTCATTCATTAAAATGCGAAGAAAAACTGGATTTATATTAATTTAAACATGAAAAATGTCAATAGAATTATTTTTTTTGCTGAAGATTACTATAATATAGGCCCATATAAAGATGGTAATCTGTTAATAAAGCCAACTTTTCAGTGACTCTGTCGAAAGGTAGGCCTACCACAAACAGGTCCTTACGACGAGAGCCAGATCAATTAATTTTGTGCCATGTGTTGTATGGCAAAAATGTACAACTTGACCACATTGGGCCCTCATCTGCTTTAAAAATAATGCCATTGTTATTAAATATACGACTACAATAAACTCCCTAACTTTGGTATCTCCCACTCATCTTCTCAATTAATCAAATCCTATCTTTCAAACCGCTCTCAGTGTGTCAAAATCGAATAATTAATTTCTACTGCTAATAGAGTTTCAATGGGGATTCCACAAGGCTCTCTCATTGGACCCCTCCTCTTTACATTAGTCATAAATGATCTCCCACTTTCTATTAAACATTCTACAATTGACATGTACGCAGATGACACATTAATATACTACTCATCATTATCACCTCATACTATCGAAAGCAAACTTAACCAAGATCTCTCACATATTCACAATCAATTGGATAAGAGAAAACAATGAACTTTAAAAAGACATCATCAATGCTCATTGGAACACACAGAAAACTTAAGCACAACAACATTCATCTTACATACAATGGCACCCCCATCTTACACAAACTTCAAAACACAAACATTTAGGTATTTACATCGATCATAATTAAATTTTTCCACTCACTCTAAACTCAGTTTTGCAATATCAATATTAGCACGCGCACGACCTTTCATAGATAAGCATACATCAACGCTCATTTACAACACGATAATTCGACCACATATTGATTCTTGTTGTAGTGTGTGGGGAGCCAGGTCGGAAACCAATATTGACCGAATACAAGTCATGCAAAACAAAGCTTTTCGCATTATTCTTAACGCTCATCCACTCACCCCACGAAACAACATTTACAACACCCTCAACCTACATACAGTGAAAGATCGTCAATTTTCAACTGGGCTGTCTGGCTTTCAGATCTGCCAACGGTCTCGCCACGGACTATTTAGCTCAACATCCGTGTCAGACTTCCCACCAGACGTACCCGCAATGCTACCCAGGGGTGTTTTATAACTCCATTCCCCAAAACTGAGACCTTCAGGGACAGTTTCATCTACAAAGCTCCATTTTTTTTTAATTCTCTACCATATGAAATTCGAAATGCATCTTCTGTAATATTATTTTAAAAAATGTTAAAGAAATATCTTACACCCAATGAAAAATCTATACGGAACTGTCCCTGAAGGTCACCATTTTAAAATAATTTTTTCCATTTATATCTATATATATTTTTATATTAACTTGTTAACTTTGCCTTGCCGTTGTTTTGTATTTTGCTGTTTTTTTTACGCGAGGGCCCCATGATTGTCAGCTAACCATTGTTTTGGGTTACCCTCGATAAATAAAGTTTAATAAATAAAATAAAATAAAACACACCTATATTGAGCAGGTTGTACCTAGCAGCAGATGGACGGCCAATCACTTTCCATTTCTAGAACAATAGATTAAATGGAAATAATATTTGCAGCTAGCTGTCATGTTGTCACTGTGTGCCAAATGTCACCCAATTTAAATTTCTGACCATTAGGCTTATGTGCAATTCCTGAACGTATCTTTTTGAGATTGTTTTATTAGTTCTTTTATGTATAGCGTTCCGTTTTACAATAATTTTAGTGTTACAATTTACGCATTTTATATACTTGATTTCATATAAGTAAATAAAAAGATGATGATGATGACGATGATGATGATAAAGATTATAATAATAACAATAAAAGCGATGACCATGTTGTTAATAATGGGAGTGGAGTTGAATAGCTTAGTGGTTAAGATGCTTGCCCTCTAATCTCAGGGTTTTCACGACTGTAATCAACTCCACTCCTACCTAAGTCTCACAAAGAGACTTCGCTGATAAAAGAATCACGTTATTTCATACAGTATTTAAGAGGGCCCCGGAATCCCACAAATATTTCATATCAGTGCATATGCTTTGCATGACGAATAAAATGGATGAGAAACTAAATTTTAATTGCTGCTTGCCATTGCATATCACACAATAAAAGCCTACAAAATTGCGCAGAATTCCGTTTCGATTTAATTTTTTTCTTTGTATTTAAGGACATTCATTGAAGTGGAAAGCCAGCTATTGACGTTTATATTTTTCAATAGAGTTACTGTAATCCGGTGTCTACTCAGCTTCAAAATATTTGGTTAAGAAATGTTTGCCTTTGATAATAGGTCCATGGTTTGACAACCACTGATTTGGTACGTAGAATTTAAACAATGGCTGGATCTCGGTAGAGCTACTAAAATGATAAGCAACAGCTAAAAAGTAAATGTAAACTCTGCTGGTTGAAATATCACCAGCAGAGTGCTCAATGGTAATGAAACCAGAGCGAATTAAAAAAACAAAACAAACGAGAGGTTCAACAGTAGGTTTGATTAGACATATTTATTAATATTTAGTTTCGTGCTACACACACATAAGATGCAACACTCTTCAGATAAAATTGTCTAATTAGAATTGAACCTCTCATTTTTGTCTTATATATATATATATATATATAAAAAAATCGAGAAGAAGAAAATCTGACTCGCCACAACAAGAGAAAGTGAAAAATAGACTGAATCAGATCAGGAAATCATCTTAATGTACAACAATGTTGCACTGATGATACATTTTAGAATTGGAAAGAGCATAATACTTAATGGCTAAAATGATTTAGAGCTGATTTTCACACGGTTCCTGAAACTATGTATAGCGTTTTTAAGATACTCGTCAAAGGACGGTACGCCATTGGATACATACATAAAACTCACACTACAGTGCCACGGTTGTCGCAGTAAATAAACGTAGGGCATTATTATAATAAACTTTTTTTAAATCTACATCAAAGAGTAAAACAATACATACTAACACACACACAAGCACCCACCCCCACACACACACACACATATAT